CAGGGCGTCGATGAGATAACAGAAAAAAATGGGCGATGGTGTGACAGATAAAGAGCTTTTTTGCTTTGTTGTTGTTGGGTTCAAGTGCCAAAGAAGGTCACAGGTTCTTAAGTAAATCATCGAACAGGCGGCTAGATCCACATTTTATATAAAAAAGCAGATTTTTGTTGGGAGGATATAGTCATGGGACGAGATCATGCTCATGTGAAGCCTGGTGTTGATGTGGAGAGCGGTGTTTTTGATGCAGTGCGGCCCCTCCCTGACCTTTACTCCTCTCCCTTGTCCCCTGCAGGCTGCAGCCCTGTGGCGGCAGAACTTAACCACTGTGAACATGGCAGACACTCACTGTTCACATGTGGGTTAAGTCCTGCTGCCGCACAGCCAGGCTTCGACGGGCATCTGTTTGTGACACAGAAAGGAGACGTTTCTATGTGTGTATGCAAATGAGTGACTGTGTATGAGTTGGCAAATTGGCGCGCGTGCGACGAAGAGGCTGCTTTCTTCGTGTCAGCCATTGGAAATCCCTGGCAATGTGATTCAGTCCTCTAGTTTAAAAAAAATCACTCTGCCAGGAATTCCCCTGGCCAACAGATAGAGCTGGACGGTCTGTGGTGGAAAGAAGACTTCAAAGCATGCGCAGTAATAAATACCACAATAAGACTTGAGCATCACTGTCACCTTTTTAAGCAGCAGCTCCCTTCTTCTTTAACCCCCCCAATACACATAGAGAGCAGTCTGGCTCTGTCACATGTTTGTCATTCGCAGGTCAGTCACTGCATTTTCTCAACCCTGTGTGCACTGTACGTGGTCCTTGTCAACTCCCAGACTTCCCGTGGCCTCTTATAAAAATAGCTTTTCAATGACAGAATGGAGAATTAGGTTAGAAGGAAGTGGCCACTCGAATGGCACTGCCTTTAACAGACGCTTACCCTGCACCCTTTATCTGTGCCCCTTGTGAACAGGGGAAAACCAAAGACAAAACAAAATGAGAAAAAGAGCACTGGAGCATGTTTCCTCTGCTGCTAAGTTACAGCAAAATCTCTTAAGAAGTTGTTAGGGATTTTCATGTTGCATAGAGAACCTTTGCTTTTATACATTGTGAAAACATAAAGTCTGATCCTGCGTATTCCTTAAAAGAAAAAAAAAAGAAGAGAAGCACACACAGCCATCCCGCCCCAGAGCACAACATAATGCTGTGAATTCCTTTTGGTTGAATTTCACTTGTCTGGACAGGATAAACTTTATTTAATGAACACAATTCCAGTCTCCAGATCCCGGCTGATCCGCTCATTTTGCCGCCCTCCTTTGAGTTGCTCTTATTTTCAGCAGCTTGAATATTTTGCTGTGTACAAGGTATGAGTCAGTGGGAACTCCAGACTCTAAATAAGCTTTAGCTGGCTGTCTGTTGTCGCTTTGGGGCAGTGGCCGGGAAATGTTATCACTAAAGCGGGCACCTCTGTTTCACAAATCTAGTGTTTAGACAGAGCTTCCATAAATAGAACGCAAACTTTTTCCAGTCCAGTTGTGAGCATCGTTTTGAGCTAAAAGCAGCATCTCATGTGGAAGTTTTCCAGTTTTCACCAGGCCAAAGTGAGGTTCAGTGTTTGGGTGCTACTGGGAAGAAAACAGAATAGCATTGTCTGTTCTCACTAACTTTCAAAATCAACTTTTTTGACTCTACAATAAACTAAAGTGTACATTTACATTGCCTTCGGGACAGTTTTTTTAATCGTTCGGTTAACAGAAAACCAAAATGTCGACATAAAAATGTACCCAGTGCGGCCCGTTTTAGATCCAAGTTGTACGTCTTCTTAATTTCCTTTCTGTTTTACGAGTTGCGCTTTTTAAAGCCTAGGCCGGTCTCCACACGGTCACAACAAGATGCTGTCAAGAAAGAAGGTAAATTAAGGTCTCGGCATCCATCAAAGACGCGACAACTGCTCCCTTTACCTCCTACCCGCCTTTAACCTTAAACCCTTTATACCGCCATCTCTTTTCATCCTGGTGTGTTATTTTCTCTGCCTTTTCATCTTTTCCATCGGTTTCTCGCTCCCCCTCCCCCCCCCCACTCGAACCCGCAGCCCGTTAATGTCCATGAGCTCATTCCTTCCCCTGTAATGACGGCATTCTGGTTGACGCACGCTGTCCAACACCTCACCTCAAACACTCTCTGCGAGGATCTCACATTCGCCTTGTTTTTTTGTTTTTTTGGGGGGGAGGATACAGGCGGCCCTCCTGCTACTGGCTTCTCATACTGGATGTTTATTATGGTTAGAAATAACAAGTATGGGGCATATAGGCTGCATCTTACTGGTAGCTCGCAACCGTGGCAACTTGTTGCACCTCGACGGAGGCGTAGGGTTGGAAAATGAGCATCACCGAGTGACGCCTGCCAGCAGATGTACTCTAGTGAAGTTAAAGTGTTTTTAGAGAGCATGTCTTTGTGGATTATGGCCTCATGTGTGGGTTCTTTGATGGTTTCGTGGTGCGTATGTGTGTTTATTGTTCATGCACACGACGTATGGCGGCCCAAGTGCAGACGTGGCCACTGGCTGTTTTCTCAGATCGTCGGCTCGAGTTCAGAATTGACATTGTCGTTTACACAAGGGCACACAGTTAAGTGGAAAAGCCTCTGCTGGGACAGCTGGATCTCAAACCCTTGTTGTTTCAACACATATCTTCTCTCTGCCCGTGTCCTTGTGTGCGCATTGCACAGAAATGCACACACGCTCCGCAGGCCAAGCGCAATCTACCGAACTCTCCACACACACACGCAATATGTTCACTATCACTGAGCAAACACAGTGATGTCAGTGGCAAACGTGTGGTTCGCGTAAGCTGGTTTTCACTCTTTCTCATAAACTGTGAATAGTAAAAATACCAAGCTGACATCATTCGCACCTCCAGGCTGTGGACCGCTTAACAGAGCAAACAGTGAGCAGTACGATTCCCAGGCTCGTGCATGTCATTAAGAATTGTTTCTCAAAGCCGAGCACAAGTCATTTATGTTTCCACTGATTTTCACAGGGGCCAGATGAAGCTGTTTCCAGCCACAGCTTCATCTTTCTCTGTAAATGCTATAAGTTCAAGACATGAAGTCACAAATGTTACAGTAACATGTTAATTCCCTTCTTACGGTGTAAATTTGCCACGTCTGCTTTCCATAATTGCTATCTTGTCTGTTGCGCCTATTAAACTCACTCCTGGGAAGAAAAGGTGGAAAAGCCTAAAAACGGTTAAATGATGAGGAGCGAGCAGCTGACACATCAAAAGAAAAAAAATTATCCAGAATCAAGGCTGCATTTTTAATCCGCCAGAAAATCAACCACAGGATCAACAAAACTGCAGTCGAAACGGCAAAGCCCGCCAACTAAAACACAACGCAGCACCACACCTTAACTTGCTTTCTACCAGACAGGGTCTGTCTGGGTATGTGTGCGCATGTGATTGTATTTGTTTCATGTTACGTGCGAGGGTGTAATCATTGCTGAGGCTGTGACATTTAGTGACATTCAAACAAGAGCCCAGGCCTCTACTATGGGCCTTCTATGTTGCAGTTTTCCCAAATTAAAGGCGACCGTTCATTGGCTGGCCTGGAATCAATGGAACGCGCCACATGTGGGACATTAGTCTGAGAAGTAAAAAAGAAGTATTTCCAGCTCCTTTTTTTTTAAAAGGGAAAAGCTCAAAGTCTCTTTGGGCTGTAAAGCTAGCCTCAGCAGTGAAGAGCCCAGCCCAAGCCCGTGGTCCACTCCCTGTAGCCCAGTGCGTGTAATCCTATCCTCAGCCTGATTCATTGCCAAACACCCTTACCACCACCACCAGCCCTGTACTTAGAGTACAGCTGCCCTGCTGCCACTGAACCACACATGCACAAGACTAACTACACACACACACACACAGCACACACACCACACACACACACACAGACACACACACACACACACACACACACACACACACACACACACACACACACACACACACACTTTTATTCCACTACGCCACGGTTTCCTGAGCCTGGGCCCATTCCTACAGATTGCTGCCGGGCACACCCACCCACTCAAACCACCCCACCAAAGCCAAGGCTTGAGGGTTAGATCCCCACATTCTTCTGCTCCTCCCATCCTTTCTCACCATCCATCCATCACCCCATTTTTCCACCTTCTCAAAGCAGAAGGCAAAATAACAACACATTTGACCCGTGCCTTCTCTTTCCCATGTCATTTGGCATGGAGGTTATCTGAAGTCACAGCCAGACGCATACGGAGCAAAGTGATAGACGCCAGTGTCGGGGCTAAATTAATACCACCTTATCTTATCCTTCTTCTTTAGGTCAACCTCACGTTTACCTCCTTCAGTTCCATTTTTGCCTTCCGCTACTCACTTTGGTCTATACCAACACCCCCGACACACTCACACACACACACACACCAGACAGGACGGCAAACAGGAAGACAGAGAGCCAGCCCTGAAATGCAGCTCAAAGTGGGTTAGCTACAGTAGCCACTGGATTCCCTTCCTTTCATGGAGGTTTGGGAGCTCGCAGACTTACGGGGCCCCTGAACAATGAGAGGAATGTTTGAGCGGCTCCGGCCTTGCTTCAACACTGCCATTACGCCTCTCAGGCTTTTTATGACCTCACTTAGCGCTCCGTGCTGCCAGCAACACCCCAAGGAGAAGCACACAGACTGACAGACATGACGACAGGCAGATGACACACATGGGCAGACAGATGACAAACATACTGTATAAGCAGAAAGCTGTATGGAAACAGGTGGAGGCGAAACAATTATGCCTGAAATCACTCAAACGGGGGGGTGGTACATAACCTTTAAATTAACAAGCGAGTTAGGCAGCGAGGAATGAAACCATCCCATTCAATGGCACTGTATTCATCTGACCTTTGTAATGGAGCCGGTCCACAGTGGCAGACCTCATAACGGGGCAATATTCCAGTGCCAACAACACAGTACATTTGAACAGCAGGCAGACTTTTACTCCGACTCTGTGTGAACGTCCCGTCCTGATCAACAGGTTGCAGGAACTGCTGAATTGCCCCTCTGTGGAAGACCAGAGGTTTAAAAAAAAATAAAGTCAGAGGAAGGTACACAGTGTTCATGGATCATAAAGTCATAAAAGTAATAATCATGTCCTGAGAAGAGGCAAACCCACTGCTGTACCTACCTGAGACAACAGTTTTTACTCCTTTTCCTCTCCCTCTTGTTCTTCACGCTCTTCAATGTCACACTCTAAAAGTTGACCTTCACAGTCCCCATCCCATCTACCGTCTCTCTCGCAACGTCTCAGCGTCTCCCACTCTTTGTCCTTTTTTCCTTGTCAGTCCGTTCCTGCTTTGGCCGTGCAGACAGGAGTGTGTGTGAACGCGAGTGTGTCTGGGAGCCAGACGGGGTGAGAGTAAGCAAGTAGGCGGGCTCAGCCTAGCAGAGGGGATTCCTTTATGACGATGTCAGAGGAGAGGAACACTCCCCTTCTCTCTCTCTCTCCTCTCCTCCCCCCTTTGCCTGCCTCCCTACCTCTCCTCCCCTGTGCATGGCCGAAGCTGCTGGTAGAACACAGGAAAGGGGGCAGGGAGATAATTGGCTGCACAGCTGCTAATAAATGAGCAAGGGCTGTTTGTGTCAGTAGCAGACAGGAAGAAGCTAAATGTACACTGAGACGAGTTTGCTACTTTTGCCCATTTATGTCAATTTAAGAAAAAAGAGTGCATGTCTATACTCATCCCCATATAAGCAGATATTAACCATATTAACCGAAAAAAAGAAATTAAATATAAAGAAATAAAAGAAAGTTAAATGTGACATTAATGAGGTTAGACACACTTGTTAAAAAGTCTTTAAACTGAGTGTTTAAAAGTCAGATCAAAGCCGTGCATGTTGTGGATTTCAGATCAGAGACGTCAAAGCTGAAAAAGTGTCTGTTGAGGTCATAAAACTATTAACCCTGAGGCACTAAACAGATTTTATGGAGGATCACAGCAATCTTAGCAAATGGCAAAACATGGCTGATATTTTTCCCTCCCCTACACGCTCCATTTGGTACATAAAGATCAAACTGAGAGAGATCTTTGGATCAGCAATTACGACACGTCAGATAATCAATAAAGCATTGAAAAACGACTTAAATCACTCATGCTGGCTTACAATCTGTTTAAAATCGTTGTCTTTGTAACTTTCGGGTCTTTGGAAGCGTTTGATTTTCATCTCCACCTGTCAAGCGTAGGACCCCCACCCCACCCAACCAACCCTCCAGGCAACACTGGGGCAGTAACATGAGCTTCTGAGAGGGGCTATTAGAAGCTTTACAACTTCCCCTGAAGCCTTTGGGTGTGTGTGCGTGAGAGTAGCAAAGTTCTGTACAGAGAGCCACGCCCCTGTGCGAGATCAGACGTCACACATTCCACACACACATACGCGTCTCTAGGCAACGCATACACTCAAGCTTAGCGAAATGACTGTGCCAGTAAGACATGTGACCGCCTGCGACACATCGTTTATCTTCGGATGGGATAATGTTTTGTTTGCGGACCTCAGTTTCTATGTTGTCTTCGTAAGGGGATTTACAGCTTTGCACAAGAGCCAAAAGGTTTTAATGAGGGCCTTAACTTTTGATTGATAGCTATCAAAGATTACATACGGGTATGTGTAAACTTGTGTTGATGATGATGGAGCTCTATCTTTTTCTTCTCCTTTCCTACTCTTCTTATAAAATGATGACCTGCTTGTGTCAAGCAAGCAAAAAAAACCAAAAAACGGCCTCTCTGAGGTGGTGAACTGAGAGATGAATATTGTTAACGTGCTCTTTTAAGCGATGAGTTTCATCTTTATTTTGTGGTCTAAACCACTATGCGTGCCGTGCACACTCCTCTTTTGCTTTGCTTCACAGGCACGGCAATGAGCGCTGCCACACGCAAACCAAATACTGTAATGACTGAGATAACACAGAATTGAAACAGAGATGTGCCACTCTTAAGTTCAGGCTGGTAGCACTTCTTTCAGTCTGTCTAAAATATGAACAGAACAGAGGAAAGATATGAAACCGATGCTCTCTCAAAGCTTCTGCACACATTAATGAGAACACTCTGGTGCGTAACGTTCTCGAGCTTTTCCTGCTGACGGTGAGGATTGTGGTATTTGGAAAACGATGCGTCTTCTCCACTCCAAGGCCATACTCTGTACTTTATGGTTCTGGGAAATGGAATCCAACATTTGTACATGTTTGCATATGTCTATATTTCAACATATATCAGTCCATTTTCGAAAGATAACTGTGGCCGAGGTGGTGTGAATTCCCATTTCTGTTTTTTGTACAGTTGGAGATTACATGTTGCAAAAAAAAATCTAACTTCACTGTGGCCTGCAGAAATCCTGTGAGGGTTGTGGGCACTTCTGTGGAGTCATGGTTGAGCTGTGTCATTTTTAGTTATAGTAGTCACTGAATAGTAGTTCATTGAAAAATATTCTCCACACTTTGGTCTGCTTTGGTGTCCCAGCTCAGGGAAAACATGTATTTCTGTGTGTGTTCTTGGACGGCTTGTATGTTTTTCATATTTTCTGGCGCATTCAGTAAGCCTCTATAAAAATCACTTTTTTTTTTATTGCGGATGAACAGTGTGTACTTGTGTTGATGGGTCACAGCGGACGTTCAGCTGAGCGATCATCTTCACCGGTGAGTCAGACGACAGTAAGCGACTCTAATCTGGGCCGCGGGGTCTGGGAAAAAGAAAAAAAATCAACATCCATTTGGTTGTCATGGTGAGTTAGATCCAATTATGCAACAGGCAGCGGAAAATGGTTTTGGAGAGAGACAGATATTCAGGAGACTTGGGAGAAAAAGCCGCTTGCCGTGCCAGCTGATCTGAGAGGTATCAGCGTTACCCTTATTTAACCAGACACATTGGCTAAGGGCACATTCCTGTGAACGGCAGCAGGTTCTGCAGAAAGAGATACGCATTCACCGATTTGTTTAAGTTTTAAAACTATTCTTCTGTTCTTGGAAACTGGGCCCTGCAAATGCTTTCCCCAAGGGCATCACGACCTTGACTTTATTGCCTTTGCATGTCAAGAGCCAGCCCAAGGATTTGAAACAATCCATCCTCCCTTCACTACATGAAATAATACTTTTGTTGAGTCCTTTTTAAATCTGCCTAAACAATGCTGTCATCAAGTATAAGGCAAACGACTTTCTGCCCTCTGAACAGAGATTATAAGAAGATGATATTGATATACTTTACCATAGTGATTAGCCTCTTCCAGATATTGCTTGTTGCAACAAACATTGCAATCTGATGACTGATTTTAATGATTAGCGTACCCAAGCCTAAATGTCATTCAGCCTGCCTTATTGGTGCCAAAGCCCCCCAGGCCTTTTAAATCAGTCGCTCTACCCTTGTTTTTGTTACTGCAGAACAAATAACACTGCAATGTTGCATTAAGATTTTCAAGAAAATTTTACTCCAATAAAAATGAGCGCATCTGTAAAACCTAATTGCCTCAAGTGTTTTCTGTTACGTGATTCGTAATCATAGCTTTGTCCTTTCTCCTGTATGTCCTTCAATCCTCAGTCTACCTCTTCTTCTTCTCTAACTCTGCCCAGCTTGGAGAAAAGTTGTGGCGATAAAGCTGACTGGTAATGCGAGCTAGCTGCTGGCACAGTTTTCCACAGCAGCTTTCTTTAAAACAGTGCCAACATTGCTAGTAGTAGGGCTTGCTAGAAGAGCAATGACGGCAAGCTCTCTCTCTCTCTCATGGAGCTCAGATTTTAGCCTGCTAACATGCTCTCAAACGGCATAAACACAAATATTAGACGTGCCAAACATCTGCAAATTATCACTTGAGAGCATGGTAGTGTGCTACCATTAGCAATTAAGTTAACAAGCAGAAGAAGGAGAAGGAGAAGCGGGTACTGTGAAGTAAGACTAAACCTACTCATTGAAAAAAAAAGGTTTCTTTACCTTCCAAAGCTGTACCAAATCACTTGTCTTGATGCTTACATTTGCTATGTTGCTATATTCCCATTGCAAATACGGCTAGCATGAACCCCGCGGTGTATGAATAACTTTCACAAAGCTGAGTGTGGAAAACTGGTATCTGTAGGTACACCCACCTGTACCTTTCACTACAATAATGAGTAGATGTGCCTCCCACTTTACAGTTAAAGCAATTATTACCTTTACTGTGTGCATGTGTCAGCACAACAACAACACAGCTGGCTGTTGATTGGCTACTTCTGGCTCATGCAGGTAATAAAAGTGATAGTTGTTTTGCAGCTCCATGCTGGATTTTTACATCTGCGGTACTGCATGTAAGTGCACAAACATCTGTATCTGAGTTATACAAGGAGTATGTGATTTTTGGAGTCAAAGAGGAGTACACAGCGGAGCGCTTTCCCCTTGCAGAGGTTAAGGGAGCGTGCACTTCAAAGACTGTTTTTAACATTTTTCTTTTCACGTCAATAAAACAGTCTGGTACACTGTGAAATGCGTATAAATAGATATATTGCTTGGATCTGCAGCAGTATTGGCGTAGTTGCTAGAGAACCAGCAACCTGTCAGCTGATAGGTGACCTCCTTAATCAACCTGTCAACTCTTTTTTTTGCTCTCATCATCATCATGATCATGATCATGATCATCATCATCTCCACCCTGAATTAGCGCCATCATGCATTTTCCTCCCATTCCTGGCCTCTTTTTTTTTTTCCCCCATCCAACCCTGACCCAGTCCTGGGACATTTGAGGTCATAGCTTTTCTACACCTCATCCATGCTGGACCAATTCCCTGGAAACTGGTCCAGTACTCGGTCATAAAGTCCATGAACACACCAGCACATCTAAGCTGAGCTCAAAACAGTCAGTTAAGAGGCTCCGAATGTATCCACTTGACTTTGACTGGTCTGTCCTGATTTTCTCTTTCCTATGCTCTCTCTTTCTCTGTCTCTCTCTCTCCCTACTACCTCTCTGGTATTTATGTATTGGTAGTTGCCCTGGAGACAGGACACACAAACACTGTGGCGGTAGACAGGAAGTGCTGTGGAACCACAATGGCGTCACTGCGGCTCTGCGCTCGCTCTCCTCCCCTCCCCTCCTCTCTCTCCCTCTGTCTGCCTCAGCCAGCATGCATGCTATTATCCTTAGCAGAGCTATACACAGAGACCACACTTCTCTTTCTCTCCCGTCTCTCTCATTTCTCTCATTATTATTAGCATTGCTTTTTCAGCTGTCTCCCGCTCTCCCTTCAACTTTATACCACATTAGCTACCTCAGTATTTGGAAAATTGCTGTCTGATTTGCGGTGTCTGGTATGCCTTGGTGTTAGTTGATGTGCTGAAAAGCTGTTGGGCTGTTTTAAATATCTCGACCTGCCCGACTACAGGCAGGCAGGTCGAGAAACTTACTCCCGTGCTTTAAAAAACTGGGTCAAGAATGCGTGTGTTTACTGTGTGTTTTGGAGCTTGTGAGAGGACTCCAGGACGTGCGGGTTCAAGAGTGAAAAACATAAGTGAACGCCTGAAAGGGACTTACAGAGGCGGTGGCCTGCTTGCGTACTGTAAAGTGTTTCGTATACGGTGAAGAGGCAGATATGAGAAGGGCAGTGGCACAGAGAGTACAAAGGGAATGTGTGTGGTCTTATTGCAGACTCTTACATCAGGCAGGCCTTAGTGTACAGTGCACATCCCTCCTGTTCTCCCTCTGTCTTTTTACACACCCTGCCTCTAAATATACTCCTCTGGAAAAACCCCTTGAGAAGATACCGCCCTCTTCTACTCAGTGTGCTAAAAATACGCTGCCAAGACCACCTTTACAACCCCCTGCCTTCTGTGCTTGCCTTTCTTTTGGCCCTCTCCCTCCCCCCCTCCTTCGACTGCTGTCCCTCTTGCTCATTGTCGTCTCTTTACTCAACACCAGTTCATTAACTTACCTAACTTTCTTGTGTGCTGTGATTTCTTTTTGCCCCTTTCTCCTGTTCTTTCTACTTCCCCATACTTTTCTGTGTGGCCCTGATAGACATCCATCCATCCATGCACCCAGCCAACCCCTCTGGGTTCAGCTTCTGGTGTCAAAACTCAGTCGACAGTTGAATTCTCAGGACACATAAACAGAGAAGAAGAAACAGAGGTGGATTTTATTGAAGTGAGCTCATAGCATGGGAGTGAGCGACAGAGCAAAACAAGTTGAAGGGAGAAGAAAAGATTAAATGCAGATATGGTTGAATGACCTATTTGTCGGTGGGGCCATGAAGATGGAAAACAATATTAGTGCTGGCCACAGCCACAATCATGGCTTTGGTTTCATTTATGATTAAAACACCATAAAGCATAGAAAGAGGAAGAAATTAATAAAAATCCCAAACAAACTGAAACTGCTGTATTAGACGTGTCCTAAAACGATTCAATTCAGCTTAATTTATATTGCACCAAATCCCAACAGATCACCTGAAGGCGTTTTAAAGGCCCTACAATAATACAGAGAAAAACCCAAACTTAAAAAAACCCACCCTATGAGCAAGCACTTGGGAACAGTGGGAGGGAGATAAGGCATAAGACATGCTGTGGAAGAGAGCCAGAGATTAATAATAACTAATGATTAAATGCAGAGTGGTTCATAAACAGACAGAGTTAAAAGAGGTGAGTGGTGAAGAAACACTGAATCATGGGAAGCCCCCAGCAGCCAGGACTATTGCACCGTAACTAAGGGAGGATTCAGTATCACACGATCCAGCTGTAACTATATGCTTATTCAAAAAGGAAAGTTTTAAGCCCAATCTTAAAAGCAGAGAGGGTTTCTGGCTCCAAACTAGGCGCTGGTTCCACAGAACAAGGCCCTGAAAACTGAAGGCTCTTCCTCCCATACTACTTTAAAATACTAAGGAATCACAAATAAGTCAGCAGAGTGAGAACGAAATGCTATAATCGGGTTATAACATCCTATGAGTCATTTTATATGATTTCATGATTTCTTGTTTGATTAAGTCAGCTCGATCGTGTCAATATTAGCTGACAAAAACATAGACTGATAACCTGTGAAACCAAGAGGTGACCTTTGAGCAGCCTCAGAAGAGAAACCAGGGCCCCAAAAACTCACAGGGGAATTTCTGCGACTCTTACTTTGAGTGTGACTACCAGAACTTTAATCAACCGTTAACAGGACAAGCCGCCACAGAGACTTGATTGAGAAAATCAAGACAGAAATAACGAAAGCCCACTGTGGCTGCAAAAAGGAGGAAGCCGAAACTGCTTCAAGGCAGGAATAATTATAGAGAATAAAGTAAACCTGTGAACCTTCCTCATGGATGTGCTGTTCCTTCTCTGTATGAGGAACTGATGAAATGTGGCGTACTGTATGTGTAACGCATAATTTTTCAGCGCAGGAGAGAGGAAGCCTGTCTGTAGCAACGGGGTTGTTTCTGTTCCTCTGCTCAACCGTTGACATCATCTGGAGTGACACACACGGGCCGACTGGCTTCCTCCGTCTCATTAATCACTTGTGCGTTAACAGGCGTGCACATTCTCCTGCGCCCTTTCACAGCTCCACAACACATTTTACCCTCCCTCGTTAGCTCCCAGATACCCTGCCCACTCAGCAGTGACCTCTGACCCCCACCCTTTCTACAAGTACAGCACTTACATTTTACGTTCTCCACCTGCTGCTCACCTGCAATAGAAGCACAGGAAATTAATTTTAAACATACGTGAGAATATAGTTTAGGCTTTGCTGTTTTTTGACCTTCTTGTACTCACACTATATTTCCCAAAATATTCCCCCACATTAAAATCATTGAATTCAGGTGTTCCAGTCACTTCTGTGGCTGTCTGAGTGCATTGTGCAAAGTGTAAAGCTTCGTTGAGGGAGGATTATGGTGTGGAGATATTTTTCAGGAGTTGGGCTCAGCCCCTTAGTTCCAGTGAAAAGAACCTTTAATGCTCCAGCATACCAAGACATTTTGGACAATTTCATGCTCACAACTTTGTGGGAACAGTTTGGGGATGGCCCCTTCTTCTTCCAACATGACTGCGCACCAATACACAAAGCTTTGTGTATTGGTTTGAGTCTGGTGTAGAAGAACTTGACTGGTCTGCACAGAGTCCTGACCTCAACCCAAAAGAACACCATTGGGTTGAAGTAGAGCCGAGTCGATGAGCCAGCATCAGTGTCTGAACTCACAAATGTGCTTCTGAAAGAATGGTGAAAAATTCCCATAAACACACTCCTTAAATTGTTGAAAGCTTTCCCAGAAGAGTTGAAGCTGTTATAGTTCCAGAGGGCTGAAATCATATTAAGCCCTATGAATTAAGAATGGGATGTCACTCAAGCTCATATGCGTGTGAAGGCAGATGAGTGAATACTTTTGACAATATTGTGTACATTGTGAAAAAAATGAACAAACCCATGGCAGTTGGAGGACAGTTGAAATATCTAGTGCCTTATCTCTGCTGTTATAAAGCTGACATGACAGGTTATCAACACGAGCTCTGATAGAGTGCCTTGAGCTGAACTTCAGTCAAAGACTAGAGCAGAGAGAAAGAAGGGAAAAGTTGCATTTTTTTCCCTCCCTTCACCCGGTTTGTTTTAAAGAGTTTAAATGATCACACATGTTCTGTTTAAATACTACTAAATGCAGTCATTCATTCACTATTTACACAAAAGCTCCAGTAGTATATCACACCATTAAAAGTCGGTGAACTGAACTGAGAGGACAAAAAAAGCCCCAGAAAAAAAGCCCGTGAGTGGAAGATGGTAGTCAGCTTTGTGAAGCAGCTAGGTCTTCCAGTGTGTGAACGTTTATGACAGCTTATAAACACGCGCACACATCAGTGCAGAAAGAAGAAAAAAAAAAGAGATCTGTGTGCGTTTGTGTGCGGTGGTCTACTTTCTGTTACTCAGCAGGGGTCAATAGTAGTCAAAACACACATTTTATACGGGGGTGAGCCACGCTCTGCTACTGCCTACACAAACACCTTCTTTGTGTAAATAATTTTTAGTCACGTTTACCACCCAAAGGACCATACGGCTATAAAAAAATCGCAACAGGCCGTGGGAACGTCGACTGGTCGCAGAGGACAGAAGATGATGAAACACGGGTTTAATCACTCATTTTCATTACGCGACGAGATCTGAAGTCAAAAGCTTTGCTAAACGTGTCGCTTTTTTCAGTTTGTTAGGAAAAAATAATAAAAGTGTACATTGACCTGCAGATTATGCAAAGTTTGTTGTGCATAACCAGGTGGCCTTCCTCGGTGTGTAGCCGTGAGACAATAAATGGGTGGTTTAGCAAGTTAAGCCAAGGTGTGCACAAACTGGGTGTGTCTGTATGTGTGTTTCCGCTGCCTCCGCCCATGTGAAGGGTGCTCTGGGGAGAGGTTATGTGCCTGCAGCTCATGCCCTTTGGCTTTTAGTTATTTCTTTTTTTGCTTCTCTCCACTTTTGTGCACTCTTCTATCCTCGTTCTCCTCGTATTTTCTTCATTTACCTGGACCCGCTTGTAGCTTTTTATCATTTTTTTTATTTTCTTTCTCTTGATTATTTCTGGATTTGAGCAATTTATTCGTCTCGTTCCCCTCTCTTTTTTCTTTTCTTTTTTTTTGCCTTCTCAGTCTCCCTCTCTGTGCATGTAGCTGTCCTTATTTGGCTTCTCTCTGAGTGAGTGGGAGCGTATGAATGTGACTGTGTGTGTGTGTGTGTGTTTCCTCCTGACTGTGACTCACTGCTTGTCTGACTCACGAGCGCTAACAAAAACACAGTTGCCATGGGAACGCACCCTCCACCCCTCCCCTCCATCTCTCTCTCTCTCTGTGCACCTCCCTGTCAGTCTCTGGTTTCTCTCTCTCCTTGCAGGCATCCCGGGCAGCCCTGGCACTGTGAAATGGTTGGCATAGTTGGGTGGGATGATGGTGGCACTAAGGTGCATGCAAACAGGATCAAAGGACACACACACACACACACACACACACACACACACACACACACACACACACAACAGAATATAAACTAAGGCTGGAAACGAACAGGCTGCAAATAGGTGAAAATAACTGTTTACACTGAGGTATTACAGTGAAGGAGAACAGAAAACTAGGGTGCAAGACAGGCAATCATCTATCATCAGTAGTAGGTAAAAATGCTTGCATCGGCTAAACAGAAAGTGCCCACCTGTGGCTCTATTCTCTGCTTCTGTTCTCCTGCTTCTTTTTCCTTTCTTTTTTTTTTACTGTTCTGAAATTGAAGAGTGCTTTGAACGGCGCCTGTCCTTTGATGTGCTGGCGTCACTGCTCGGCCTTGCCATAACCTCCAGGGAGTTTGATAATGTGCCCACGTGTAGCACTGCCTTTTCACAAAGATCAGGTAGGGCACTGGATGTACTAGCAGACTGAAGCAAGTAAGGTTTGGCCTACTTCCTGGATTCCTAAATCCTGGTTGTGCCCCCTAGTGGACTACCCTTTATTTATTTTTTATTTTTCATTATAAAGGGAATTTACATACACCCACAATAATATACAGTGACTGGATGCTTTATTACTGTTCAACTGCTTGTTAATGTAAATATCTAATTATATGGCAGCAACTCAATGCATTTATATGTGTATACATAGTCAGGAGGAACTGCTGAGGTTAAAATTGAGCTTCAGAATTAAGAAGATAGGTGATTTAAGTAACTTTGAATATTGGTGCCAGACAGGCTTTCTAAGTAGATCAGAAACTGCCGATCTACTGGGATCCCCCAACACAAGCATCTCTAGGGTTTAAATGGTCTAAATAAAAAAGAGAAAATATCCAGTTCCCTGGATGAAAATGCCTTGCTTATGTCATTGTTCATATCAAGCTGATAGGAAGGCAACAATAACTCAAATAGCCACTCATCACAACTGATGTACGCAGAAGAGCATCTTTGAACACACAACAGATGGGCTAAAGCAGCAGAAGACCAAACTAGGGGCTGCTTTTGTTGGCCAAGAACAGGAAAGTCTGGAAAGTCTGTAAAAATGTTGGATGGTCAGATGAGCCTCAAATTCTGCTTTGATTATAGAATTTGGCATAAACAGCATCAAAGCATGAATCCATCCTGCCTTGTAAAGTGGTTCAGTCTGCTGCTGGTGATATAATTGTGTGGGGGATATTTTCTTACTAAACTTTGAGTCTCTCAGTACCAATCGATCATCTTTTAAATGCCATGCTGCCATGTCCATCCCTTTAGGACCACAGTTTACCATCTTCTGGTGGCTCCTTCCTGTGAGCTAATGCTCCGTGTTATAAAGCTCAAGTCTCTAATTGGTTTCATGAACACGATAATGAGTTCACTGCACTCAAATGGTCTCCACAGTCACCAGATCTCAATTGAGCATCGCTGGGATGTGGTGGAATGGTCGGATCTACATTAGTAGATTAGTAGCTGGCAAATCTGCTGCTACTTTGTGACGCTACCATGTTAATATGAACCAAAATCTCTGAGAAATGTTTCCAGCATCTTGTTGAATCTATGCTAAGAAGAATTAAGAGACTTCTGAAGGCAAACGGGGATCCAACTCCGTACTATCAAGGTGTACCTAATGCAGTGGCTGTGACTGTTTATGTTGAAGTTTGAGTGTTGCATGTATTACCAAACTTTTTACATATAAAGCCAAGATTAGAGAAAAGCCAAATGTGATTTATATTAGTTTTGTTATTTCATATACAATTAATATTCTCGTGTCCCTCCAGATTTATTTTGGGGGTCCAGACCTCCAGGTTCTGAACTGTTGCAATACCCTAAAAAAGGCTATTTCTCACTAATACAAAAAGTAGCTTATCATGAACCTGTGCTTTGCTTACGTGGCGAAATAGTCATAGAAGAAGACTTTGTGGGGAATGAGTGAAGAAAGAACGAAAAAAATTACAGCCAAAGGTCGTTCTCTTCAAGGCAGACGATAGCGGTGCACACAAAAGCCTCAAATTCGCCATGCACGCTCACATGTGCACGCAAGCGCCCTTTTGACCTCGGTTTCACCTTTGTCAGCCCAAAGAGCTCAAAGCAGCTGGGTGGAGGAGAATTCTGACAACACGCTGAAACTGAAACTGTATGCCCACATAATCCTGGGCCACAGAGGGTCGAGTGGGTTCAGGGGGAAAGAGAGGAATGAGGAGCAAATGAGAGATACTGTGAATATAAAAAAAACCACCAATAGAGAGAAGAAATGTCTCAGTGATACAACGTAGGTCAAAACAAAGCTCAAATCCATCTTAGAGAGAGTGATGGAAACACCATTGTCACACTTTATTGAAAAAAAAAATGCAACCTGCCACATATACCGTATTCTTTTACTGTACAAACATGAGCCGCAATAACAAGAGACTGCTTTGCTGATTGTCAGAACATACAGAGCGAGCCCTACAGCGCACACAGACAGACACTGAAGATGAATCACGACACTGTGTGGAAAGACTGTGGTCGTGAATGAGAACAGAAATCCACTTGCTGTCATACATTATATCAATATTGGTTGGATTATGGCATGTATAACTCCTCTCCACACACATTGTGCACCCAACGTGTGTGAGCATGTGTATGACAGCTGTCCCTGTATGTGTAATAATCCTCGGTAAGCTCCATGGCTCCCACAGTCTCTTCCACTAGATCCTCCAGAGCATCTCTGACCTCAATGTGTGCTTCTCTGACACTCCCTACAACCTACAATACACCACACAAACTGCTCAAGCTGTAGGTGAGAGATACCATGACTCCAACGTACTGTCTTCTTGCAGTGGTCAAGCAGGGCTGTCACTTACAGAATACATACATACAGATATTTAGCTTCATATGCAATCTCTACGAGTGTACTTGCATGGATCCTCTTATATTGAAAAGCTGAACATTAAATAGTTCAATGTTATGGTAAATACTCATACTTTTAGTTTTTGTATTGTGAGAGGATAGATGCCATTCTGTTGTTTGTAAGTAAAATAGAAAGCTATAGGGAGTAGCTGGCTAACTTAGCTTAGCACAAATACATTAACAGCTAGCCTAGTGATGTGCAGTTAAAGAGATAAAAACAAAAGCGTTTTGGCTCTCATCTTTTGTCCAGTTTGTCTCAAAAGCTCATTAAAAAGAAAACATATCATTAAAATAGACCACACAAGTTAATTAGTGGGCTTTCTAGGTGAATTTGTTCCTTCCGGACACAGTTGTTTTATATCTGGCCGGAAGCAGGAAAATGTACAGAGTTGTGCAACAGACTTGAGCCACCCTTCATTTTTTCACATTTTGTTTTCATAGACCCAATTTTCTTGTAATTTTTCTCTCTTCTTTTGAAATTGGCTGCTTTTTCAATCATTTTCAATCATCACCTTCTTTTTTTTGTTAAGCACTTAAAACTGACCTATGACTCATTCAAGCTTAAAAAAGGCATCTAACTCAAGGGATAAACCAATCTTGTATGTAGACATGACAGACAACTTAGCAAAGAACCAGTTTAAAATGATATCTTTAGACACTTTGTTACTTTCAACCTATCGAGAAAAAAAAGAAAAGAAGAAAGAAATGACAAGAAAGCTATCCAGTCGTTAAGTGATGACGTGACGAATCCTACTTCCGGGCCTAAAGTAGTCTGTGTTTAATATGGCTTTTGTGTTGTTAACATGTTTAATGTTTTGTATTTTCTTCTATTTAATCTCAAAAAGCTCCTAAAACAGTCAGTGATCACTGTTGACCTCCCTCGGCTTTTATTACCGTTAATTATTTATCTAAGCTCAGTTTTTAAAACCTTACGATGTAACTATAGCCCAGCCCATGCAGCAGTATATGAATGACTAACTTTGTATTGTGGATGGATTATCTCAGTCGTTCTCCTGGCTGAAGTTTGGTCCGTTTACAGCATCCTGCCATGTGATTACATTTGTTCCTGACCACCGAGAACACTCACGTTAACTTTTATCGAGTGGACAAACGTTAGTGTGTGCTCACATAGCTGTGTCGCTAGCGGTCACGTAGCACATCATTATATACCAGCTAGCCAAACTTCAGTAACCCTACAAACTTCACTGCTGTTTAGTTTTCTGTCTTCTTTTATGTTGGAAGTGATAACAGAGCCGTACGTTTGAATTTGTTTCCAAAGTCCCGCAGTCAGGACATGTTATATTGTATTTAGATGGAAGCTAGCGAGCTAACTTCCTGCTAATTTCTACTTCGTTAAATTTCATAAATTCCGTTTTCACGGATGCTTGGATGATAAACTCAATGTTACACCTGGTAGAGCAGAACGCTGATCATTTTATTACAGATGAAAGACTTTAGACAGTTTTTCAACTCTCAGTGATGCCATAGTGATCGTTTGACTTTGGGACCTGCAGCGAAGTTTGAGCCCAGACACGGCTAGTGACGTCAGACTTAAAGACCGGATTAAAAAAATTCAGGCTATGTTGAAAAATAAAGGTGGTCATACAAAATATTGACTTACAATCTCATCAGAATTTTTGCCTTACATACTGTATTTACAAGTATATTTGCATGTTTTGTTAAATCACTGCATACATTTCCTATTTTCCTAGCAAAATGTAGAAAAAAATGAAAGGTGGCTCAGGGGTTTCTCTCAGCACTGTCACAAAATATTGACCTTCCTTGAGCACAAATCAACTTGATAAACTTCACGTTTACAAGACAATACTATAGTTAATACTGACTGATTATTAGCACGTGGCCAGCAATTACATTTCCCTTCCAAAGCTACTTATAAAATGATGCTGAGCTTCATACCTTCATATTTAACAACTTACCTTTGAATCAAAGTCCAACAAAACATAACTAGCTCATAAAGTGTAGGCCACTTCACATTAAATCTGAATAATGCTGTCTAATACAAATACATCTTCAAATTATCTAAAGTTTATTTTCTCCACTTCATCTGAATTATTTAATGTTTCTGGGACATTTTAAGATGATGAATGAAGTCTGGATAAACATCTATTCCGTT